AATGCAGCATCTAATGTTCAAAGAACATACTACAAAGTCAAAGGCAACTTCCACTCTACAGCAGGGTTTCTTATCACTTTGGTGCTATTCTAGTGAAATTTGAGACTCCTAGAACTAATGTGTTAAAATTCAAAAGATAAAACATATAATAGTCATATATCAGAAGTCAAAAGGTAAAATCCCTGAAAGGTAATAGCTAAAAAGGAATCCAGTAGGTTGAAATTATATTAAAATGTTAAATGCATACATATAATATATATATATATGTATATATATTTCCTTATTAACAAATCAAATTAAAAAATGCAGCAGTGGGCCAAACATTAAAATTCATAATAACGATAAGTATAAATAACACATCTAATTGTTTCATACAATTGAATCTTTTAATGTAAATTAAATTAATTAAATTTAAATTATTATTTTATAGATACTAGATTTAGGGATGTGAGATAATTTGAAATGGTTACTGTGCTTAAAAAAGTAATCGTGTAGGGCTGGCCAGATAGCCCAGCAGACTGAAGCACCTGCTTAGGCAGACACAGGGACCAGGGTTCAACCCCAGGCATGTCGTGCTGGCCCCACCCCTGGAGCATGGTGAGATGCTGAGTGAGACGGGGTGTGGTGGCACGTGCCTGTAATCCCAGAGCTTGGGAGGCTGAAAACAGGAGGATCGCTATGAGTCCAATCTGTGTGGTGAGATGCTGTGGACCCTGTACTAAATGCATAAAAAAGTAATTGTGATAAGGATAATATAAAGTAAAATACTGAATGTAATATCTATCAGTAACATTTGCTACAAGTATGGTACCTTGCTTAAACTTATATTTGAAAGAAACATTTCATTTGAATTGCATGTTAAGAATAATTAAATTGTATTTTCCCACAGCCATATCTAACTTCAAAGATTCCCTTTCTTCCATCACCCCCATCAAAATATTAGGAAAGATGTTAACTCTCCCTTTCAAAGCATGTCTTAGAACATCAAATCAAACCCCAGAAAAATCCTTCTCAGGAGAAACATGCATGTTCCCATACTTCAATGTCAAGAGTTCTCACCCCTTGAGAGAAGGTTCTGGAAGGTAGAGTTGACTCCTGCCTGGAGGTCCAGGTATGGCTGCAACTTCTGCTTTCTTGTCTGGGACTCCACAACTTACACCCCACAACACCCAACAAGAAACTGATGACTGACTGATACAAAGAAGGACATGAAGACTTCTATGTTTGGGTTTTATTATTATTATTATTATTATTATTATTATTATTATTATTTTCATCATCATCATCATCATCATTATTATTTAAAGGTGAAATTATTTGGAAACTTTACTATTTCATGACTTGTAACACATGGACCATGGCGCACATCACATGGCTCCAGTGATCTTCTGTGGTGAGAAGAGCTACTCTACACAGGGGTAATGCACTGCGGAATCAGCCCTGGACTCAGGAACTTGCAGGTCATTGTAAAGCCACTTGACCCTTGGAACCGCGTACCTAACATGGAAGTGCTGAGTTTCGTTAAGCAGATGTAGACAAACTTTTTTTTTTCTTTTTTTTTTTTTTTTTTTTTTGGCGGTACTGGGGATTGAACTCAGAACCTTGCACTTGCCAGGCAAGTGCTTATTCTACTGAGCTATTGCCCCAGCCCCAAACTTTTTATCTAGAGGCCCAGAGAGTTAAGATTTTGGACTCTGTGGGCCACGTGGTTATTGTCACAATCCCTCTACATTTCCATTGTAGTGCAGTCAGAGGGAGACTCTGACTGACTGTGGCTAGTTCTAATAGCAGCTACGTCTATACAATGAAATTTGAATTTCACATAATTTTCCTATGTCACAAGATAGTATTTTGTTTTAATCTTTTCCCACATTTTAAATACATACAAATTATTCTTAATTCATGAGCCATACAAAATGAGACAGTAGACTGGATTGGACCCACTGGCTAAACTTTGTTTCTTTTATTTCTAAATATAAAGTCAACAAGTAAATCAGTTGTGTAGGTTAATGTGGTTACTTAGACCACTGCAAAGAGTTTCACTTAAAATAAATTTTAGCTGCAATGTGAGCTAAAGAAACCTCTTACTGATGCTTCATATGGAAGCAATTTTCCACATATAAGAGCAAAATGCCAAAATATAGTGTCTGAAAAAAAAACTGTATATATACATCAGCAGTTTGCTATACTAATAAAAGTCTGGAAAACTATGACCCTCATTTTGAGCACCTCTTGAAATTGTAGGGGCCAAAGATAACTTTTATGAATCTCATGATGCCACAATAAATTTAGTATTAAAATATTTATGCAAGTTTTCTTAACCTGATATATTTTTTTTTCAGACACCATAGACCTAGAGATAGATTTGCTCTGAAATCAAGATGCAAATTTCAATAGGAACATGTGAGGGACTTCAGTTTTATACAGACAGACACTGCAGAGAATCCTGCATCCAAAAACTGAATAAATTTGCGAAACACAAATTTAAAGTTAGTTTTTGCTGTTTAGGAGTTTCTTTGCCCTACATGCTTAATTAGGAGGAATACGGTAGCATCAACTTCCCACTGCCAATGTTCATCAGCATTCCAGCATTCTCACATAACTCTTTGTATTAGCAACAGCATGAAAATTTGAAAGCCTAGACTCCTAAATCCATCAGAAATAACTTCATTACTGACTGTTAACAGTAGAATTGATTTTAGAGGTGTTTTTTTTTTCTTCAGGAAGAAAAACAAAGACAAATTAAAAGAAAGAAAAAAACCAGAAGGAGGGTGGTAGACAGTAGCAATATGGCATGGGTGTAGACAAATTGCTGTGATTCGTGGAAAAGTTAAAGCTCACAGATTCACTCCGTTGTGAGAAAGTGTTTCATTCCTTATACTCCATCAATGAGCCTCAATTCATTACAAAGAATTAACATAACATTTCACTTATTTAGAAATCAAGGGGTTCGCAACCTGTATTACTAAGCCTGGATTCCAGTCCTAGGGTGACACAGTCCTCTGCTGGCTGTCACCACCATCTTTGCACTATCATCAGGTACACATCTGGGGCTTTAGTGCTTGCCACAATGGCATTTTTGGTTGATATATGTCTGAGAGATGCGTATATTAACACCCGGGCTACAGAGCCAAGCACATTTTAGTGCCGGCTACAGCTGAAAGAATATGTTTCTACTCCTTGTCCATCTGTTCTCGGCAATACAAATTTAAACTAGAAACATGAAATAAGCTTCCTAAGAAAGAAATCTGAATTGGGGTTAGAGCAGCAAGGTAGGTGCTCTAAGCTGAGACCCTGGAGCATTTAATTTTGTAGCAGAAAGTTCAATTTTTCTTGGAACAATCTCATGTGGCAGCTACAATTGAAAACTTAATAATGATCACTTTTTAATCATTCTTTTTCAAATGTGCTGGCTTGGTCATGTATTTTGTGTTAAGTACATATATTACAACTCCTGGTGTTCATGGTTCTAATAAACCCAGAAGGTTCATCACGCTATTGGCCAGCCATGCAGGTGAACACCACTGAAACATAACCATGGACAGCTTTGCACTCAGTGCCAAGTTGCATCCATTAATGAATGGTGCGGGTCTTCAGTACAACTGGGCCCAATGCAAAACACATGGGGCTCTTGCTTTCTACTATCCTCACCTTACCTAGGACCCGATAGTTGGAGTTTATTTCTTATAATCATCACGTCTTTGTCCTGTGTGCCACCTCCTACAGAATTGTTGGTTGGTTTGTAGTTTTTGCTAAGCACACAGTATGAGACTATTTGTTGACATTTGAAAGTGCACCGGAGAGTACACAGGAACAATAAAACAGAAAAGAAGCATGTATGATGACACACAGATTGCCCACAAATCAAGGATCTTGTCCCCCTGAGTTCAGTAGATGAGAGAGTAGCTCCCACAGGGTCTTGGGGCGGGGCTTTCTGGGTCTCTGATGGTGTGAGTTCAGACTCTGCTATCTGGCTCCATGTGGATCTTGAGGGTCGAAAAAGACCCGAAGACCGCATACTGTAGCCTCCCCTGGCATGCTAGAAATGCTTCTGTACTTTTAAAAAATCTCCTTTGCAAAAGACAGATTTACCAAGACTGGTACAGTATGAATGCTTCCAATATTGGCTCTAATAACTCCTCTGAGAAGTGAATATACTAAAGGGAATTTACCTTCCCTGGTTTTCAGCTTCTCTTTCTGTAAATGAGGATAACTGTATTTGTCCTACATTGGTTCTGAGAGGGGGACAAGGACATCAGCAGAGCAATCAGCCCAGAGAGGGAAGCTTAGCAAGAACCTCACAAATGGTAACTGACACTAGCTACCCCTTTCGAGTGCTTTCTATTAGCAAAAATAGTAACTATGTTGTCTTAATTATCCAGTCTTCTACTAAATATTGTTGTAGTAGAAGAATATTCCTTTAGCCAAAGAATCTGAGAAACTGTTATTGCTTCTCAAAATGCTGTACAAAGTTACCTATGATGGTGAACAAGTCATCTGGGGACTAAGGAGCTCAATCTTCTAATCTATAAAATGAGAAATTTCAACTCGATGATCTCGAAGGTCTCTTGTTTGAGTAAGTTAACAAAATCATGTTTGACAGCATATTCTCATGCTTTATTTATAGTGATAAAATGTGTACTTGCTGCCAACCCTCTGATGTGGGATGTCTAAATGTTCCACATATGCATGTGGAAAGGCATTAGGTCTGTTGATGTTAAGCGCTACTGGTATGTTTTTGGGGCGCTATTTGGCTCAGACTTTGTTCGTCGCACTTGTTTTTGAATAGGTTGACAGCGAATCATTTTCCACAGAATGAACTTCAAGGGTTGGTTCAGCCCCGCGTTCCAGAAGTAGGCCATCTTTTCATGGCTTCTGGTTTTCAGAGTGAAAAGCTTCCTCTGTGAAGTGGCTTTCATTATCCCCACAATATCCCGTGGCCTTTCGCCGTGGGCCTCTGCGTGCTCGCTCTCGTTCACAAGGCCTCTGTTTTCTTTCAGACCTGAGTGACCAGCTACTGGAAGTGGTTGGCTTGGAAGGGGCCATGGAGATGGGGCAAATCTACACGGGCCTGAAGAGTGCTGGCCGCCGGCTGGCCCAGTGCACTTCTGTACTCATCAGGTACCGCTTTTTCTTCATCTGTGGAGACTGGACAGGGCGCAACCACAGGCAGATGAAAGCCAGGCAGGAGTCAGAGAATATTTGCCTTATTTTTGTTTCAAATTATCCATGAAAAAATATGCTATAAATTACCTATGACTATACTGTATACAATGAACTTGGCAGATTTTACAGAGTACTCATTAGCCATCTCTTACCTAGTTCTCTGGAATATGGTCTTCTCCCATTCAGCACCATGGATACAGGGATGCACGCATTCTACCATACACATTTAATCCCTCAGTTCTCATTCATGTTCGATTTCCTGAAGCTAGCAATGTGTTTACCAGGCAAATGAACCAGAGAAAAAACACCACTGATACACCGCACACTGAAATGCTCTCATGGATTGAAGTTCCACAGTGATTCCTGTAAAATGAGTGATGAATTCTCGCATAGTAATCGTTTTGTACATCAAATGAGAAACTTTCCAAAGAAGTTTTTCTATTGTTTCACATGGTGAGGGGCATATTTTGACCTTGGGGTAAAACCACAAATTGTAGGCTCAGTGGATGTTATTTATATAAAGGGGTTGATCCTGGAAAATCTGAGCTATCCGGCATCTTTTCTCCAGGTTTGCAATGTGGGCGGGCGTAAAAATATGGAGGTTTTTTTTTTTTTTTTTGGTTGTAGGAATTCCAATCGTGTCCTTAAACATAAACCCTGACAGTTTCTTTTGGCATTCAGAATTTGTGTTTATTATCACTATATTTACCAGGAAACCCTTAACATTCCTGTGACCACAATACCTTCCAGGTATCCATGAATAGTGAATAAACCTCTCCTTCTCAGAAGGCATAACTTTAGTGTCTGCTGTTAGCACATTCTCCTTCCCTGATCTCAGTATTTCATATTTTTATATAGCATTTGCTATATGAAATATTTCAGTGTTATGCTTAAAGTGAAATATTCTCCTCCAGGACTAGCAAGTCTCTGCCAATGCAAATTGATGGGGAACCATGGATGCAGACCCCGTGCACGGTAAGTACTAAGTGGCTGAAGTGCTACATCAGTTTCATTTTTGCTCTCTGAACATCATACGTTCCTGTAACAAAATCATCACAATGTCTAATCTTTTGTCATTCCTTTGTAGGGCTTATAAGCAAATATGTTTCTCTCCTTATTTATGTGTCATTTCATTCAACTTTTAGTTCTAACACACCCTTGGCCCTTAATGTAAGTCTTGAATGTGGGTTTGTTAGCTTAAGTATGATGCTAAATACCATCAATGATGACCTCTGCTACTGAGCAAAATGATGGCTTCCCTTAGACTCTCTTGTCCATTTTAGGGTACCTTACAAGAAAATGACTAATGAGACCTCCACACATATATCTTCTTGTGTGTATTAATCATCTGTTATTTTTTCCTATGTTGAGTAATCTGAGGGTTCTTTCTTTATAGAAAAACATCCCCTCTCTATATTTTTAACCAGAGATTTTTCCCCAACATGGATATTATTTACTTCACATATTTTGCCTCTCTCCAAATTTGGGGTTTCATTTTTACAGTAAATGTTTCATTGCATTTCAAATACATAGTAGACACCAGAGATAGAAATGCGGAAAAGGTTAATAATGTCATTGTCTTTACAAGCTTATATTCTGATAGTAGGTGTCAAAATAAACTATATATAGCTTCATGTTATAAGAGTTTTAACAAAAATAAGGACAAAAATGAAGAGGAACAGATGGAGAATGAAAGATACTACTTACAGTAAGTGGATCTAGGAGACTTTCTAAAAAGGACTCCACCAGAAGCCCCAATCATCAATGAAAAAGGAAAAAGGATCTCAAACCTTCCAGAGTCAGAGGAAAAATGGTGAGAGAAAAAGCAGAAAAGATGGACAAGGAAAATGTTGCGATCAAAAAATAATGAAGTGTTGGAGTGTAACAGGAAGCTAGGGAAGGCTTTAAATTCACCTTCCACATTTAAAGTTTTCCTTGGCTGCTATGTGGAGAATGGATTATACTGAACAGCTGCCCAGGAGAGGTCTATCCTGGTCCCTTGGCTTGAACAAAGACAACAGGAGGCTAGGAAAATGGAAATGGACGGCATGAGGAACATGCTGAAGTTTAGAGCAGGAAGAATTTAATGAGGTCTCCTAAAAGGATAGATGGGGAATGGCAATGCTGTTAGCATACTGCTTATAAGTAGGAGTAAAACTGGTTAAGGAATAATAGGAAAGGGCCTTAGTCTTGTATAAACATTGTGTTTGGTTCTTACATTGAATGCACTTCTTAACTGTTTACACACAAAAAAAAAAAGATTAAAAATCATCTAAATTTTCAGATGGAGAATATTTAAGTTTGGTGACTATAATATACCCATTCAACCTTTGGTATATAACAGACATGAAACTCAACCTGAGTCATTGATTAAAGTCCACTTTTCAGCTTCTAATTCAAATAACTTTAGCTATGAATTCCAGATGGCATGAACTAGTTCCTAAGAGGGAGAGTTTCATTTTATGCTTCCATATGTTTTACTCTGAAGCTACTATCTCAAACATTGAGGATAGCACCAAAGTATGACTTTATTTTTGTTTCTAGAATATTCTTTGTAACTACCCATGCTCATGAAGTCTATTCTTTGTAATAATAATTTAAAACAAGTTCACCTACAGATCTCCTAGACTACCTGTGCCTTCTGCTGCATCTTACTCTTGGTCCCACATTTCCATATTAGAAAGAGCTCTTCCTCCACTGACAGGATGTATACATTTACGCCTTGCCTGTTTTATTTAGCCTCTCAAAATACACATCTAAATTGATCCGTTATTCTGATGGGTGTAAAGCATGGTGGTAGCATCAGTAGTGATGATGGTGGTATTGGTAATGCTCGTGATAGTAATGGGGGTGGGGCTGATGGTATTGTGGACATGGTCACATCTATCACTGTGGTGGGAGTGTCATATTGCCCATGATAGTTATAGTGTGTAGTGGATTAATTGATAGTCGGGCCAGCAAGATAGCTTAGTTGTCTAAAGTGCCTTGCTAGGCAAACTTAGGCAAACCTAGGAACTGCAGTTCGATCCCCCACACACACACCACCTGCCATGCCACTCCAGCCCTGTCCCCAGGGTGGGCTGGGCAGGTCACCAAAAAAAATTGGTAGTCAACTTATTACATCCAGCTGATTGAACTAGGATTATTGCTAGCAGCATAAGAGGCAGAATTGGAAAAGCAGTTGAGAGGCTGTTAGGAAAGCTGTTTGGAGAAGCCATTGAAGCTGTTGGAAGCTGTTGGTTCTCATGGGCCATTCTGTGGGAAGAACTTGTCATGCTGGCTTTGAAATGAACTTGGCTGTTCTTATCAAAGGAGAGGCTTGGCACTTCATTGTCTCTGAGAATGACTATGGTTCATTTGTGGGAAGTTCATGTGCTTACCTTGAAGATTGCTTCCTGGCTCCAGGTCAGATCCCTCAGCCGCTAGCACAGATCCTTCATCTCACTGTCACAGACTTTCTAGCTTCCAACCATGACCTTTGGGCCTTCCCTGAATAGATCCATAAAACAGGCTCATAAGACATTGTTGTAGGCTCTAGACCTCCAGTTTCAGTCGTGGAAGACATTGTTACAGGCTCTGGGTCTTCAGCTGGACTTCTGCAGCACATTATCATGGGATCCAGGTCCTCAGGTAGATTCTTTGGTCTTTAGTGTGTAGACAGATTTCCTGCACTCTTTGTATATGATTCTTTGGTCAATACATTATAAAATAATCTTATAAAATGTGTCCTGTATTGTATTGCTCCCCTTGCAGAAACCCTAAGCTATGACCGAATGGAAATTGGCTAAAACTTCTGGTGAGCTGTAGGATGGCCATTGGCACAGTGCGAGTCATAGAGGTGATGTTGGTAAGGGTGATTAGTATACCAGATCATGTATTTCATGGTGACAGCACTGCTCTTGTCTTTAATAAGAGGTCACTCTTCACCAGCCATATTCACAGATTTCATTTTTTAAAAAAAAGAAGACAACAAAGTGAAACACCTTCCGAGAGCATTCCTTGTGTTCTTTGAAATTCTTTTTTTTTTCTTTGAAATTCCTGTATGAGGGAATAGAGTGTGTTTCCTGCATCATGTTTTGAGTAAAGAAGTAGCAAAGACAGTGTTAAGCCTACACATCCGCATTCTTCGTATGTGCACACACTGAGACACCTGATTTGTACTGACACATGCAATTATCACCAAAATTCTGCTTAGCCCCATTTTAGGATTAAAGCAAGTGAGGCTGACAGGTCTAGATGTTTGTCTATTTCTAGATAGTCAAGAGGTGGCAGGGTAGACACAGGCTCAGGCATTCCTGGTCATCACAAGTGCTAGGGATTTCCGAATGCCCTGTGCCTCTGGAGCTGCCCCTCCAAAGCACAGCCTGCAGTAGGTCACTTACCACCTGCAACTTCAGAAAAACTAAGCGCATTGACACTTATGTGGTAAGAATCGTTCTAGCATATTTCACATAAGGACTGTTAGCAGTGATTTTCTTTCAGTTAGCAGTGGAACATTTGCTTCGTTTATTAACTATCACAATCTGCAATTGTTAAATTAATGGTGCTTGCTATATAACTTGCATTTAATTCTTTTTTCCTGTAGATTCATTCATTTAAAACATGTATCACAGCCTACATTGGGCTAAGAAGTGTACTGGGCTATGGCTCATTATTGTCATTTTGTATGCTGGCATATTCTGCTTTTTCTAGAGCCACATGGAGCCCTGAACTTTAAGTTTTATTTTAGTAAAAGAGAATATTTAATATTTGTAGCACTGCTATGGTTTTAGTTAGAGTCTTTTCTCCCTTCAATCAAATAACACATTGTTTTTATTGCCAAAACATAAGAATTGGTAGGATGCAAAAATTCTTCGCTGAATTTGCATATCCATAAGCTGATTTTCAATTTATAAGGAGTTTCTCGATACAATTTTAGAGGAGAGCAGAAGTTCTGTTTTTCTTTAAATGGAATATATAAAGCTGAAGGGCAGGCAGTGAATATTTTTTGATTTTTACGTCAATGGAAAAACTTTTCAAAAAATTATTTTTGAGATGGATGTTGGTTGGATAACAATGTAAGAGTATTGGACAATTTTGAGCCTAAAAATGGGAAAATTTATATTACATATGTTTTATCATGATAAAAAACTGATTGAGAAAAAATTAATAATATTTATTTACAATTTCCATCAGTCATGGTATTGAATATATCAAGAAAAGCAAAAACAAAGACCATAAAACTAACGCTTGATATATAAAATGTACAATTATTTTTAGAAACTACATTCTCTCACTACAACAATTGGCTTAGTTGGTTCTCTCATTGTTGGGACAAAATAACCAGTACCCAAAGTTACAGGAGGAAAGGTTTGTTTTGACTTACAGTTTATAAAGGTTTTGTTTCATAGCCAGCTGACACTAAAGCAGGGTGACATGGCAGAGTGGCATCTCAGAAGAGATACAGTTTGTTGCAGGCTCTACAAAGAAAAAGCAGTAAGACAAGCTAGTAGTCCTCTTTCTGTCTCTTATATTCTAGCCAGGCTGCATGTCCTTAGGGCAGGTAGCACTCGCACTTGCAGAAGGCCTCCCCACCATCCACACTCAGAGCTATACCGAACCAATCACTCGGCTAATTTAATAATCACATGCCCTCGATTCCAGCATCATACACTTAACCCAGAATCACACACTCTGGGTCTAGCCACCTCTGAAAAGCCACACTTATGAGCATACAAGGTTTTGCGGGGACATCCAGATACAAGCCATAAGAACAATCAATACAAATTTGTTTAATAGCGCTACTTTCATAGTACTGCAATAGTCACTAAGAAAGGATTTTAGCTACATAATTATTGGCTAACAATTGGTTAACATGCACAATGAACTAAACAATATTAATTCTAGAACAATGTCTATTAAAATTATTCTAAAGCCTCCTGTATTAAGCCTGGACTTGAAAGCCTATTTTCTCCTTTTTAACTTCTTCTTTCCCT